CATTTCCCATTTCTTTCTCGAATGCTGTGTGCAATATGGAAGAGGCCACATTTCATTGTTTGATGCTGTTTTCTTTTACACAAGAAGAAATGCATCCAACGCCTTTGTGGAAATGCTGCCATACATCTGTTGTTCAGCACTCAACAACAAGAGGACAGAAGGTGTGGGGGGTTCCTCATGCTGAAGTTTCACTGGTTGCTTGTGTGTTCTGTGCCATTTGTCTTCAATATACCTGATCCACAGCAGGTTCCAGGAATGATCACAGAGTGCCCGATTTTCATGTTTGTGACTACAACAAGAAAATCTACCATTTTGTTTTGCATCACGTTTTGTGGCTGTGTATCCAAGATTCAACTGATTTGTTGGGGCCATCCAAAGTGTTTGATTGTTCTTTTCTGACAATAGGCGTCTTCCTGTAGGAGGGTGACACCTCTACCAGTATGATTCATGTGACCTCACCAGTAACATGACTGTTTTGGCAAAATAAAACAACTATTCCCCCATACTCTACGGTCTCCTTGTATTACGACCTCTTCAGTAGCAATATCACAGTGGAGAATGTGACCCCACTGATAGAATGAACCATCTTGTATTGATAACAATCTGGGGTTAGTACTCTGCAAATGGCAATGTGTCTGGCTGTGGGAACCTATCTCTTTCTCATAATGTTTCTCTACTGGCATTATCTTTTCCACCAGCCCCTGAACATAGCCAAGTGCTTGCTATACAGAGTTTAGATACATGATTTGAGTCCATACCTGCAGATATTGTATATTTAAAGCCCTGATGAAGAGAACGATGTGTGGTCCCCAAAATGTGTTGCCTGTCGTATTTATTATACATTTGGAGTAAAACCTCTTTTTAACACACTGGTGTAGCACTCTGATATTACTTCTATAGTCTAAGGTTACTGTTTCAGTTCCTCGATTCGAAGAGCAGCTGACTTATCGCATAGACACCCCATTGGGATACTACCAGTATGTTTTGGCCAATCTATCAATAGCACTAAAGCAGCGGTTCTCAACCTGTGGGTCGCGGCCCCTTTGGGGTTCGAACAACCCTTTCACAGGGGTCTCCTAAGACCATCGGAAAACACATATTTCCGATGATCTTAGGAACCGAGACACCACTCCTCTATCAGTCTCCAGGCGAGTCCGCCCACATGCAGATACGTCCACATTTCCCTGGACCGCGATGTGTGCGCGATGACATGCCGCCCCTGTCATCTGGCCACATCCCCGGGATCACTCAACAGCTCCGCCTCCTCGCCAGTGATTGGTTGCTGGAACTGTAGCTCAGGAGAGGCACACAGGCGGCCAATCACCGGTGAGGAGGTGGAGCTTGGAGAGGAGGAGCCGAGCAGCAGCACGAAGAGCAAAGAAGATCGAGCGAGGGAGCGGCCGGAGAAGGAAGACAGCTGACAGGTAAGCAACTGTAGCGTGCAGATGGTGCTGCTGCAGCCAGGAATGCTGGCTGTAGATGGGAGAGGGAGGGAGCGAGCCCAGGCTGGAGCAGGAGTCAGCAAGGTAAGTATCATTGGTGTCAGTGGGAGGAATAGTGTCCCATCATTGGTGTCATTAATACTAATGATGGGGCACTATTCCTCCCACTGACTTCAATGATGGGGCACTATTCCTCCCCCCCCCCCACTGACACCACCAATTGGGAACTATTCCTCCCCCCACTGACACCAACGATGGGGCACTTTACAAAAGCCGTTCCTCCCCCCACTGACACCAACGATGGGGTACTATCCCCCCCCCACTGACACCAATGATGGGGCACAATTCCCCCCCACACTAGTATCATTGATGGGGCACTATTCCCCCCCCCCACTGACACCAATGATGGGGCACTATTCCTCCCACACTGACACCAATGATGGGGCACTATTCCTCCCACTGACACCAACAATGGGGCACTATTCCTCCCACTGATACCAATGATGGGACACTATTCCTCTTACTGACATCAGTGATGAGGCACTACTCCCCTCACTGACACCAATGATGTGGCACTACTCCTCCCACTGCAAAATTACAGTTATGAAGTAGCAACGAAAATCATTTTATGGTTGGGGGTCACCACAACATGAGGAACTGTATTAAAGGGTCGCGGCATTAGGAAGGTTGAGAACCACTGCACTAAAGTATATCTACTTAAGGCTCCAGTGCCATCAATGTACCACTTCATACTGACATAATGATATGGTTTAGAGAGTGGAACATCTTCTGACTCAATAAATCTTTGTGGGATTTTAAACAAAATGCCCTCTACATAAAGGAGAAACAGACCCTAGATACAAAGAGTGACTTCTTGTTTATCCAAGGTGGGCAGCATGACCATGGTAGCTTGAAGCCTAGCAAACATCCTATCGGCTACTGCACATGTGCTGTGGCTCATAAGATTATAATGTCTGCCCATGATGAGCAGTAAAGAGTCCCTGTTTGCATCTAATCTCTGATTATCTTTTACTATTTTTATGTGGAAAGTCATTGGTATTTTTTGTACTTTAAACCCATACCTGAGGTTCTGTGTCCACAGGCTTATGAGCTAAAAGTCTGACCCTGTATAAAGTACAAAATGAAATAGAGACAAACTGTCACACAGATCAACCAAAATAGAAGACAAAAAAGGAAAAAAATGTGTTTTTTTATATATATATATATATATATATATATATATACCCACAAATTGTCGTTGTCAAGTCGCTATATCACCCATACATTTCTATGGTACTTAACAAGCTTAATAAATATCACACAAGTTACAACAAGTACAACATCCTCAACAAAAAAAAATAAAACTTGTGTAAAGTATTTAAAAAAAGGCACATATGTTTTCTGCAGCAGAATATATTTGTTAATTACAAATTTCCACTCCTCTACGGATGGCAGTATAAAAGATACTGCGAAGCAGTCAGTTTTTTTACAATGAAAAAAAATCTTTAAACTGCAATGGTTAGAGTCCAATGTATTGGAATCAACATATCCTAGGTTACATAAAATGGGTTCAAGGGCTAGGGAAATGCCATATACAGTAAATCATGGAATAATGATAAAAGTATCTTTAATGAGAATCTCCCATTGAGCAAGGAGAACTTGGTCATACAGCAGTTAAATGGCTGGACAAAACCAAGCTGGCCACAAACATTGCAATCAGGAGTGCGCATTCCATTTGCTATACAATTGCATTTTGATTTACCAACAGCAAGGCAAAGGACTTGTCACCAGCAAAGCCGCTGCTTCCACTAGACAAACTAGGCAATCCTTCATCTGAGGGAAGGGGCAGCTGAGGGGAGGAAGAAAGGACAGAGGAAAATGCTGGGTGTCTGGGGCCAGTGTAGCAGATGAGCTGCCACTCCTTCAAGTGTTCCTCTCAGACTCAGTCCCTGTCAGCTAGCAGCTGCTGATCACTGTGGAGTTCCAGCCCTTCTCTTCCCATTCATCAGTGGAGTTGGAGCTGTGCCTGCAGAGGAAGGTAATGTCTGACTCTGATGTCTTGTGTCTGTGTGAGTGTGACCTGGCAGACCAGACCATCCATCACATGTGCAATGTGTCAGTAAGTGATGACATCATCATGATCCCAAAGCCTGCTCTTCTAGTGCCTTTTGATCTGTGTCAGTATTGGTGGTGGTGTGTTGTGTTGGATCTGTCATTGTGTGGGATCGCTCAATTCACCTGCATGCTGTCACACAGCGTTTTATCTCCCCCCATTGTCTGGGAATTCAAACATGGGATCTGTCAGAGTGTGGATCCATCATCCTCCACTCACTGCAACTGTCACCCTGCCACTGCCAGCCACAGATACAATCCGTCTGTGACTCTGACTTTGTCTTTAATATGGGTGCTGGCGGCATCTTATGGCACTTATTTTTGCAAATTATAATAAATTTAGCAGTTTCATGTTTTGTCGATCTGATATTTTCTACTGTTTTTAAAAAAAAATTTTGTGGGGGGGAGCAAGTAGCTGGTCTTGCCCAGGGCGCAAAAAAGTCTTTCACCAGCCCCAATATTATCTGCAGGCTCTCTGCAGCTGATGCATTTTCCATTAGTGATATTCCATGCCTACTTCTGCACTGTGTCTCTGTGTGGAGGGGTCATCTTGGTAGAAGCATGGCTTTGCTTCTTTCAACTTTCTCTCCAGCAACCCTCAGTAAAATACTGAGCAGTCTGTAGGTGACATCTCTAAGGCTCCATGCACACTAAAATTTTTTTTAAGCTCATAAAATTCTGGAAAAAAAACGCTGGATAAAAAATGCTGGTAATAGTGTTTTAGTAGCGTTTAGAAACATTGGGAGCATTTAGGAGTGTTAGCATTTTATTAGCGTTTTTACGGTCCATGTAAAAAAAAAAAATAGAAAAAGCTGTTTAGAAGCATTTTAGTAGCAGTTAGAAGCATTTAGCTTTTTTTTCTGCAGGAAAAACGCTTCTAAAAACTCTACACTCTGAAGCTTGAAAAACGCTACTAGCCTGAGGGCTGTCTTTATTATTGATTGGACCCTGGGCAAACATTGTCTTGGGCCATCCCCTCCCCCCCATGCAATTCCACTTTCCACCACACACAAAGACATATCGAAAAAAAACTATAAAGAGGTTGTAAAGGCTCAAGGTTTTTTACCTTCATGCATTCTATGTGTATAGCAGCCCCCAAAAAAACTTACCTGAGAAACTGACAAACTGCAGACATACTACAGGAGACGGTCAGAGACTGCAGACATACTACAGGATATGGTCAGAGACTGCAGGCATACTACAGGAGATGGTCAGAGACTGCGGACATAGTACAGGAGAGGGTCAGAGACTGAAGGCATATTACAGGAGATGACCAGAGACTGCGAACATATTACAGGAGATGACCAGAGACTGCAGCCGTACTATAGGAAATCAGAGACTGCAGCTATACTATAGGAGAAGGTCAGAGACTGCAGCCATACCATGGGAGAAGGTCAGAGACTGCAGGCATACTCTAGGAGTAGGTCAAAGACTGCAGGCATAATATAGGAGAAGGTCAGAGACTGCCAACATGATACAGGAGATGGTCAGAGACTGCAAACATGATACAGGAGATGATCAGAGACTGCAAACATGATACAGGAGATGGTCAGAGACTGCAGACATACTACAGGAGAGGGTCAGAGACTGCAGGCATACTACAGGAAAGGATCAGAGACTGTGGGCATACTACAGGAGATGGTCAGAGACTGTGGACATATTACATGAGATGGTCAGAGACTGCGGACATATTACAGGAAATGGTCAGAGACTGCAGATATATTACAGGATGTCAGAGATTGCAGACATACTACAGGAGATGGTCAGAGACTGCATAGTACAGGAGACAGTCAGAGACTGCGGACATAGTACAGGAGATGGTCAGAGACTGCAGACATAGTACAGGAGATGGTCAGAGACTGCAGACATAGTACAGAAGATGACCAGAGACTGCAGATATAGTACAGGAGATGGTCAGAGACTGCAGACATAGTACAGGAGATGACCAGAGACTGCAGACATAGTACAGGAGATGGTCAGAGACTGCAGACATAGTACAGGAGATGGTCAGAGACTGCAGACATAGTACAGAAGATGACCAGAGACTGCAGATATAGTACAGGAGATGGTCAGAGACTGCAGACATAGTACAGGAGATGACCAGAGACTGCAGACATAGTAAAAGAGATGGTCAGAGACTGCAGACATAGTACAGGAGATGGTCAGAGACTGCAGACATAGTATAGGAGAGGTCAGAGACTGCAGCCATAGTACAGGAGAGGGTCAAAGATCGCAAGCATACCACAAGAGAATGTAGGATGTCAGAGACTGCACATCCCTGTATGCTGCTCACTGTACCGCCCCATGTACTGTCTGATCTCCTATCCCGGTACTTTGTCTGCTGAACTTTCTTCATGATCCTTCCTGATCAGCACAACAGGTGCTCTAAGTGTTCCCATACCACACATGTCATTTTCTTACGTCTCTGTGTGGCACCGAAAATGGAGACAGGTCCCAGAATCCCAGCATAGACTGTACAGAGGAGGGCAGAGCAGAACAGTCTCCCCCTCTCTCACCCCACTGGTCACAGGTGTGGTTGTTAAGGGTGGAGTGATTGGCTGTTGTGGAGGTCATGTGATGGCGGGTCAGGCAATGGTTGGTTGGGGTTCAGAAGAGGTGATAGAGCACTGATCTGGGAAATTCAAGATGAGAGAAAGCCAGGCACACATCCTCCCGGACCCACCTTGCTGCCACACAGCCCAAGTCTGTCCTCAGTGAGCATTTGGCCGGCTTAGTGAACTGCGCATGAGCAGTTCCAAAGCCAACAACAGCCGACTTTTTACAGGCAGTGCAGGCTCAAGGGGCAGCTGCTTTGGGTCCCACAACAATGACTGGGCCCTGGGCAGCTGCCCCTTTTGCCTTGCATTAAAGACGGCCCTGACTAGCCTAAAATAGTGTGCATGAACACATAGGCTAAAATTATTTAGCTTCTAGGAGCAGAACAAAAATACTGATAGCTTCAAGGAGTTAAATAAAAAAATGTTAGTGTGCATGGAGCCTAAATCTTGTGAGACTAGCAGTCAGAGCCAGCAGTGCCACCCTTAGATGATCTCACATTGCCCATGGCATAGGAGTCTCTAAGCACAGAAAGTGCTCAGCTATTTTTTAGGAAGACTTTTTAAGACACAAAATATACTGTGCATGTTTAGGGTACTTTTTAGGGGCAATTAATATTTTTGGATGTTCCCTAGAAGATTATTATTATTATTATACAGGATTTATATAGTGCCAACAGTTTGCTCAGCGCTTTACAATATAACGGGAGACAATACAGCAACAATACAGTTCAATACAAGAGGGTTAGGAGGGCCCTGCTCCTTGGAGCTTACAATCTAAGAGTATTATTATATGGGATTTATATAGTGCCAACAGTTTGCTCAGAGCTTTACAATATAAAGGGAGACAATACAGAAACTATACAGTTCAATACAAGAGGGATAGGAGGGCCCTGCTCCTTGGAGCTTACAATCTAAGAGTATTATTATACAGGATTTATATAGAGCCAACAATTTGCTCAGCGCTTTACAATATAAAGGGCGACAATACAGCAACTATACAGTTCAATACAAGAGGGTTAGGAGGGCCCTGCTCCTTGGAGCTTACAATCTAAGAGTATTATTATACAGGATTTATATAGCGCCAACAGTTTGCTCAGCACTTTACAGTATAAAGGGAGACAATACAGCAACAATACAGTTTCAATACAAGAGGGTTAGGAGGGCCCTGATCCTTGGAGCTTACAATCTAAGAGTATTATTATACAGGATTTATATAGAGCCAACAGTTTACTCAGCACTTTACAATATAAAGGGAGACAATACAGCAACAATACAGTTCAATACAAGAGGGATAGGAGGGCCCTGCTCCTTGGATCTTACAATCTAAGGGCTCGTTCACACTAGGCTGTTTTGCCAACGCTTGCCAAACGCCCCTATAGCGTTTGGCAAGCGTTGGTCCGGTGTTTGCGGAGCGTTTTTAACGCTCGGCAAACGCTCCGCAAACGCCGCATGCGCGGTTTAGCGGCGGTTGCTAGGCGTTTGCCGAGCGTTAATAACGCCCCACAAACGCCTATAATGCATTTGAGTGGTGTTACCGCTCCGCAAACACCCCGCAACCGCGTCGCAACCACACCGCAAACGCCGGCCAGGCGTTTGCGGAGCGGCACCATAGACGAGAATAGGAGGCTTCAAAGCCTCCTGACTTGACCAGAGGCGTCCATTTTGCCGCGACGCAACGCGACGCGACGCAAACGCTCCTGTTAGAACAGCACCATGTGCTGTAATGTGCAGAATTGGCAGAGGCGTTTGGGAAGCGGTAAAAACGCTTCCCAAACGCCTCTCTGCCGCCTGCACACAACGCTAATGTGAACGTAGCCTAAGAGTATTATTATATAGGATTTATATAGCACCAACAGTTTGCTCAGCACTTTACAATATAACGGGAGACAATACAGCAACAATACAGTTCAATACAAGAGGGTTAGGAGGGCCCTGCTCCTTGGCTTACAATCTAAGATTATTATACAGGATTTATATAGCACCAACAGCTCAGCACTTTACAATATAAAGGGAGACAATACAGCAACAATACAGTTCAATACAAGAGGGTTAGGAGGGCCCTGCTCCTTGGAGCTTACAATCTAGGAGTATTATTATACAGGATTTATATAGCACCAACAGTTTGCTCAGCACTTTACAATATAAAGGGAGACAATACAGCAACGATACAGTTCAATACAAGAGGGTTGGGAGGGCCCTGCTCCTTGGAGCTTACAATCTAGATGCCAAATCTCCACTTTTAATTCAGGTCCACTCATAATTTTGTGCAGTGTCCACACACAGGTCTATGCAGTTTTGTGCAATTGATGGACCTTTAAATAAATGCTGATTTCCCTGTGTTGATTATGTGACTATGACAACACTGATATTAGTAAAAGCTGTTTCTAGATTGCTTAACACGGTGTTATTGTCCTACATATGGTAGATTTACTTTTAAGATTGCTATATTTTATGGCTAGACAACCAGACTTAAAATACATCTGTATATGCAAAAATGTATGTAAAAAAAGCTGCATTTTTTTATCATTCGAACTTAGAATGTGGAAAGCATAGCATGCGCCATGTGCTGTAGAATCTTGGGGCTTGAAACACACATATGTGTTACACAGCCTGTGAGAATAGTGACACCTTGTAGCTGCTGAACATTACTGCAGTTATTTAAGCACTGTAAAGAAAATGCTAATGGGCTATTACCTGAAAAATCAAGGAACTGTCTGTGAAATAGTTAAATGATACGATGAACAATGGGCTAAATACAAATAATATGTGCAAGTAAAAAAATGTGATATAAACAGTTCACTAAATCTGAGTTTTTTTTAATGCTGTGAGCAGGGGCGGACTGACAACTCATGGAGCCCCTGGGCAATAGGGGATCATAGGGCCCCTGTGTCCTTGCCCAAACTCTGTGTCCTTGCCCAAACTCTGTGTCCTTGCACAAAAAAGCCTATGAAAAAGGTACCAGGGGCATCTCATGGGGCCCCCTACTGACCCCGGGCCCTCGGCCAGTGCCCGAGTTTCGAAATGGTCAGTCCGCCTCTGGTCCCTAACTCACATTCATACATACAAGGGGCAATTTTAGACAGGATCCAATTAACCTACCAGCATGTCTTTGGAGTATGGGAAGAAACCCACGCAGGCACAGGGAGAAACATGCAAACTCCAGGCAGGTGGTGCCATGGTTGGGATTCAAACCAACAATCCTTGTACTGATTTGTTTCAATATTTTCAGGCTCTGTACCAGGGGTGGACTGACAACTCATGGGCCCCCGGGCAATAGGGGATCATGGGGCCCCTGTGTCCTTGTCCAAACTCAAAAAAGCCTATGAAAAAGGTACCAGGGGCATCCATGGGTCCCCCTACTGACTCCGGGACCCTCGGTCAGTGCCCGAGTTTCCAAATGGTCAGTCCACCCCTGGCTGTGAGCTCATTTTACTTAGCAGCATCTTCATGTTATTTATACTTGTGTTCTATGTGTAAACTAATGAGGCTAATGAGCACACCTGATTTTGGTACAAGAACAGGTCCAGGGTCCATTTCATTTAGCTAAAAAAATGACAACATTTTGCTAAAATCTTTTTTGACTTTTAACAAAAAATGTGGGATTTTGGAGATGTAAGATCAAATTCTCATTTATACTGCTGGTTACAGATATATTAGTGATGTTAAGCCTACTCCGATATGAGGAAATCTCATGAAACACACTGACCAATGAAAAAAAAGTGGCCTTCTAATGGTCTTATTTTGAAATGTCCCCATCAACAGATTTTCAAGTCATTAATGAAAAGCACACAGCTTGTGGACTTCTTAATACTGGTGCTCAATGCTTTGTTTTTAAGAAAAAATATGAGAGAACTTGAGGAATTTGAAAAAAACGTAAAAGAAATTGGGAGAATTAATGACTCGCTGACTTTCTGCAGATAAGAGGGATGTCACTTACATATTAAGCCAAGTTATTTTGTAAGCTTTATTAATTGTATCCTAATTCATTTCATCATACAGATAAATCTTAATTTACATTAAAAAGCAAAATCACTGTTTTTTGTCTGTTATAAAGATGCTGGTCAGTTGACCACAACTGAACCCAACAGTGGATAGCTTTTGTTGGCCATTAAAGCTGGCCATAGATGAACTGAATCCTGGCTGGTTCAGCAGAGACCAGCAGAGTTTCAATCCAACTATAGGCATGCTGGTTGTACTGAAGTCGATCCACTGATTGACGTCAGTACAACCAGCCTGTTGGATGTTTTGCATGCAATCACTGCCAGTGGCTATAGCTGCCAGTAGTGATCATTGTGTTCTTCTGAACAGATGGTTTCCCACTAAAAGAAAGCAATTGCACTGCAAACAAGATTACCCCATGAACACAGTCAATGGAAGGAAAGAAAATTGTATCATCTATGGCCTGCCTTAGA